TCAAAAGAAGGTATGAATACAAAGATTAAGATTTATTATAAGTCAACTGCAAATTTCGAAATAATTTTTTCTTTATAAATTGTTAATTAAAAATTATTTCAAAATTTATATTTCTATCCTTAACATGTAATAAAGCTCATATAATTCAAAAGCAGCGCAAGATTGATATTCAGGATGAAAACATTCAAAGAGTATTGTCAATTAAACCTCCATCAATATCAGCACATCATTCCGAGTTTTTTCAAACAATCCAGAATCCACCAGTAATTTTGAATCATTGACCTTCAGGTTGTACAGAGCCACCAGTCATATTTTTTAATGAAATATTCAGCAAGTTTGTTGTTGATTTCAAGAACGAGCATTTGCTGATTTCTGAAAATATTTTAGAAACGGTTGAACTTTTTGTAAAGGACATGGAAAAAGGATATAGTAATGAAGAATGCCGTTGTGAAATACTGGAGAAGCATTTGAAAAATGTGATTGGACCTATGGAAAAGGTTGAGAATAGTGATAAAACAAAGAGTGACCGTGTAGTGACCATACTTGTTCAATCATTTATTGCATTTGCACTGGTAGTGCTTGCTGAAGTGAAGAATGAAATCGGTACCGGGTTTTGTGATCCAACTATACAAAGTGCATTATCATATGTTCGACGGTAGGCTCAAAATAAGTATCAAGACCTGTGGCAGTGCTGCAACTGCCCAATGATTATTATTGCAGTTGCCGGGCCATGGCTATGTGTTCTCGGTGCAGTTTACCTTGAAAAAGAAATCGTAAACCCTTTTACAGATTTCATTCCTTTAATGCAATTTTATAATAATAGTTATTACAAAAAAATTGCACGACTTCTTGAAGCTTTACACCTTGCTTCTATACGTTTAAAAACGTATTATGAAGAATTAAATATATTCGACCCATGTGACTAACGATTTTGCCCATTTCTTCATCAATATTTAGATGGTTTTGGGAATAATATATCATTTAATTACAATGATTTGTTCATGGAAGATTGTACAGAATTTGTTTGGAGAGCAACAACAGAAACCGAATCTCCAATTATTATAAAATATACACAAACATATAACGTGAATGCACACAAAATATGTGCTGAGAAACAGCTAGCACCACAAATTCTTTTTGCAAGTAATAAGATCATAGATGGGTGGTGGATAATAATAATGAAATCTGTAGAGGAATTGTTATTATATCATGCTCAACTTACAGATGAGAATTATCTGATAGTCATGCAAGACATAAAACAAGCAATTAAGTTGCTCCATGGTAATGAACTTGTTTTCGCTAATCTTTGTAGCACAAACATTTTGGTTTACAAAATAGAAATGAAAACACGTGCAATGTTATTTGGATTTGATTGGTGTGGAGAACACACTATCGGCCGTTATCCATTTTTGATAAGTTCAACAGTTAAATCATTTAAATAGCACCATGGTGTAAATGCTTATGCGTTATTGGATAAAATTCATGATTTATTTTGTCTGGATGCACTTCAGGAAAAGAAGAGTTGGTTGTTCTCTAATTAGAACGACACAACCAGACCAATCTTTGCAACTTTATAGTTTATCTCGCAAGCTGTTTTTATAAAATGAAATAATCATTTTAATTTTTCTAAAATGTTATTTTTTAATTTTTCTTTTTTTCCTTCTTTTTTTTTTTTTATGACTATTCAAAGGCTAATTTTTCTGACATTGTGTCTGATATTTTTTACTTTTTCTTCGTTTTGTTTTTCTCTTTTTTTTTTTAATAATTCAAGGTTGATAATTGTTAATATCAAATTCTGTAGGTGATTAATGCAAATTATCTATCTTTAAGTACTTTCGATGTAACTCCGTGATGGTAAAAATGATTCTGGGCAACTTTGCGATAATCAGCATGAAAAAAATTTATTTGAAATAAAGCTTATATTAAAACATTATTTGTTATTATTATCATTATATGGCTATCTCAAGTTTTGATACACGATTTTACTAAATTCATATATACGAAAGTGTGAACTGCGTCGGAAGAGTTACTTTGTCGAAATATAATCTACTTACTATATCAATACTAAACTATTCTAACCAGAACACTAAAACTACTTTAACCAAACCTTAATATTGGTAAGGCTTCGTTTGAGGCGTGGAAAGACTTGGTCCGAGTAACTGGGTAAGTAGAGATAGTGTTGGATGCGGATAGGTGCTCTATTATCTCCTTATTAAGTGTTTTGCATTCTTTGGCACCTTCGCTAATACTATAACTTCTTTTCGTATGTACAGCGGCTGGGTCTCGTGATCGAATTTGGCCAGTCGGAATGTGGTACAAGGTCACGGTATTATAGGATCACAAATCAGGTATAATGATGTTGATCACAAACTGAATCAGGATCGATTTTAATACGTGTAAGGTATTACTAATACAATTTCTTTTTATTAAATATGACGATACGATATTCGATAGTCACAGGGACAAGAAAATACGATAACGACAAACACTTCTACTTTTATTTCGAAGGTTTTTGGAACTCCAAGAGTTATTTTTTATTGAAGGTAAAATTGCTCACTTATATACCTCTTTGTTACATTTAAAATAAATTTTGAAAATTTAACCGATTTCTTCTATTTACATTATTTTTACAATTTTATCGTTGTCATAATTATGTCAATTTATCCTATTTTCAAATTTAGTTATTTTACCAAATTTGCGAACTTTTCAAAATCGACCTTGTACTACTCCGGGCGAATATCTTTACTGAGTGGGGCAAATTCGAAGCTCACAACGTACGAACGTACGTACTTTTTATTAATTTCTTAGACATTTATCGTTATTTAATTTATTAATTTTTTAACACTTTTATACGTTTGTGATACTTTTTAACACGCTTACACGATTATCTCAAGTTTGTAAAATGTACGTACATAATACGGTATATTTTTACTTGAACGTACGTACTTTCGTACCTGAGGATAGATTAGTGGCGCAACCAAAATTCAGCAGGTCGGCCTGAATTATGGGTCGGATTTCATCGGATTTAGCCGGCGTATTACGGCAAAATTGTCATCTGGGTAGCTTTACTTAGTGAGGAGCTATGGTTTCATAGCGTTAGTAAAATTTTGAGTTAACCTTGTGCAAAATTAATCCATTCCGGTGCATTTCGACCATAATTCGGGCCGATCTGTTGAATTTTGTTGCGCCGTACCGGATTCACACTTAAATTACTACGATCCTTGCATAACATGCATTATTAATAAATAGAAAAATTACGTAAAAAAATGCTTACTCAAAATAAAGTAATTAATGTTTACCTTAACGCTTCAAAAATAACAATTAGCACTGGCGCTTAAAAATTCCTCAGAAAAATTTATGAACCACGCAAGTCAATTATCGCAAATCCTATTTAAATGTGTATCATGTGAACGAAATCAGTACCATTTTAAAAATTGACTATCTCAGGTTTAAATAAATTTACCCAAAAACTAATGCAAGAATCGACCTATATATTTAAAAATAAAATAAAAAACCTTTTAGTTATTACGTACACCAACAATAATCGAACCGTAGCTTCGAAACTCAATAGACTAACCAAAAAGCCTGTCTTCACGTACTTTATATTTATTTCTCTTTTCAAATTCAAGTTATTCAAGTAAATAAGTGTCCTCAATAGACACGCATATGTGCGTAAAAACTTCACGGATTACATCACAAAGGTATTTTATTACACACAATAGTATATTTCACACTTTTAAAATATCAATCCAAATAATAGTAATATATATTAAAAAAAAATTGCATCAGCCGGATACTTTAATCCATGCCGTATGGTAGTGATCAGTAGATATAGAAATGTCTTTGTACATATAAATCAAAATGTCTATTCGTAATCTTTTTACCCTTATCTATAATGTATGACCAACATCCTCACAATTTCTCTATTTGTAAAGTTGATAAAAAAAATGTAACGCCCATATACTGTACAATTAAATGTCTTGGCTATTTTGGATTGACGGTTGTATATTTATATCTCTCTTATGTACGCCAATTTCAATGTTTTTTAGTATAATCAGTTTTTTTCTTAAAAAAATACGAAATAATGTGTATAATTAAATTTCTAGAAATATTAGGGCATCAGTATGATAACTGGCGTACATCATTCATAACATATTCAAATTGACGCAACCTTCTTTCAACATATTTTTATAAATAGTGAATAATTTCAAGGTAGCATGATAGAAATTTGTTTTGATTGGATACTTATTTTATATGACAAAATATTGTCACACGAGTTTTTATACTATTTTACAATAGAAAATTTTAAATTAAAGTAGCTATATCGAAATTTTTATAATCAAAGCCCCCTGAAATCTTGTCAGAAGATTTTTTGGACGCTTAACTTTCATATAAAAGTTTGGGATCAAGTTGGATCAAGTGTCCCACCAACTTTCATTAGAAATGCTTCTGACATTACAAGCATGTAGTACGTTAACAGTATTATGTGCTTTTAACTTTTTTTTTTTTTTTTTTTTTCGGTGTTAAGATGACCTCTTGGTCAAGTGTGCTTTATTGATTTCGAATATGTTATACATATTTGGAGGGTACATCTAGTCATACCTGCGCCTTTTGAGCACCTATTTAAGTAGTCTGCCTATTACTAGGTTCTATACTAGTTGCCGTACCTGCAACCCAACTAGGGGTTACTCATATAAACCCTCTGCACCTATGTACTCTGACACCTACGTCAATCGGCAACCATTCCTCCAGTTCTATGAACCGGTCTTCCTAGCACACGTTCACATGATGATTTAGGACTTTAAAGCAGACCTCTATCACCTTTGTAATCTACTTCTGATCTTTTATCTTCGAGGTAAACCTGGCAGAGCCCACAGTATTCCTACTTTATATCGCATCTAGCCTGCATTTCAGTTTGGTACGCACGGGCTGTGGCCCACTACTTGCGGTTCAGTTTTACCTATTCTGGGAGTGTATGTGGTGCCAGGTCGAGATCCTTGCCTATGGTTTTTTTTCAGCTTAAACTTTCTCCTGCTTCCTTCTATGATTTAACCTCGGTTTGGCTGAACTCCACTATCCAAATCTACTTCTGCCCTTGTAAAGTTCACTTAAACCTTAGAACTTACTTCATAGTATATCTTCAGTACTTTAGTAATCTAGCTCTCTTTACCCAGACTTCCAATCCAGATAGCCTGGTATGTAATCATTTATTTTTCTCTGATTCGATAGCAGCCTAGTTGGTGTTGACGATTTCATCTATTCATCAATATCAGGGGCCCCAACTCTGGTTCTTGACTTCTAAGCTAGATAGTCCGGTAACCATGTACTTTTTCTTTGCACCTAGACAGGTACCCCCAATGGGTGGCTAGTAGGTTTCCCACTATCATCACAACTTGTCTGCAATTGCAAGGGCTTCTTAGCTAGATTTCTGGTCCTCTTTCCTATTTGCAGCAGCCTGGTTGGTATAGGTGCTTCCCAAACACCCTGTATTTCATCTAGTTCAGTTCACATGGGTTTCATTTCCTGGGTCTAACCTTTACAGTAGCTCCGTCAAAGATCTGTACTACCTTTCTACTCAGGACTTGCCAAGTGGGCTTCCGTATTCGCAGTTCTCTAGATTTACACAGCCCGGAGGCTTATCTTGTGTTTGCACTACCCTATTATCAGTTTGCATTCCTTTGTATAACCTTATATCACACAAATACCCCAGACCTCCCAGTTTTGCTGGTGCGACCATAGTTACAGGTATCCTATCCCAACTGATCGTCAAATACAGTTAGCCATAATACAAGCAGAATTTTTGAATTTTTATCACCAGTGAGATTCGAACTCTTGACCTGCCACTTGGGAAGTGACAACTTGACCACTTTGCTATGTCACCACACTCCTGCTTTTAAACTTTCAAAGAGTAATAATTAATAAAAATAATATTTCTTTTGAATAGATGTTTTGAAATTCACTTGAGCAAGATTGTTTCACAAAATCCCATAAAAATATCAGAGACACAAATCCTTGGAATAATTCTTTTAATTTTGGCCAATCTGAGTTTTTTTTGATTAGCCAATCAAAACAAATTTTCATCATGCTTTTCAAGGTTTGGATTATAAAAGATTTTTTTTAAATAAAATATTGTTATTATCTGGCAAACTCTTATGATTATGAATTGCCACCTGTCTTGTTATTTTTTTTATGTGTTATGATATAATCATGTTTATTCAAATTAAAACTCATTCAATGACTCGTGGCAAAGGCATGCCAATAGTGGCATGCCTAATTTGTTTTTGGCATGCCACTGGGTACAGTATAAAAAACTTTTTTATGATATCTATACTATATATTCAACTTATAGTATTGTGATTATTAATAATACAATATTTTATGGCATGTCATGGCACAAATGTTGACAAAAGACATGCCTGTGGCATTGGGTTGTACCTCAACTAAGTAAATCAAATCTATATCAGGTCACCTTAACATTTAATTATTAAATATTTTTAATTAAATATTTGATCATTTCGAAAATCATACATACGGTATACGTATTACGAAATAAATATAAAAACAACCTAAATTTTTTAGATATACATGTCGAATTTTTTTCTTTTTCAAAGTTTTCTAAAAATCAAAAGTTTCTTACACAATATAATAACAATGTTACGAAGCCTTCTTTTAAATAATATTATAAATATTTAGTCCAAATCCTTTATTTTTAATATATTCTGATTTTTCAAGATTAAAATATTGAATTTAAGCTGAATTATAAGATTTTTTTATGTTTAAATACAAAAAATTGCTTCGTAACTTTTCTCGTAGAGATTTAATATTAATTCTTACAAAATATTACTTTGAATTATTGTACGGTTAGAGCTGGGCATCTATTTTTGTTATATACTTAGCAATGGTATATACAAATCATAGACGCGTAATTAAATTGTTACACGAAAAAAATTTGTAACGTATACACTTGGAAATGGTCTACATGCTGCATAAATCATATTCTTGATATTTATATAAACCACTAACCATTACTGCATCAAAAAAGTAACCTTAACTGCATCAAAAAAGTAATTCTAACGCACCTTACTTTAACCATCTCCCATATATAGTTTTGATTTACTTAGTTGAGGTACAACCCACTGTGGCATGCCAAAATTTTTTTTTGCATGTCAGACACCCTTCCCAACCAATCATGATTATAAATTGCCGAATAACACCAATATTGCGCAATTTGTCGAATACGATAATTTGGCTCGACCGGGCAAATGATTGACATACGTGCCGTTTCGCGGCACGTGTTCATTTGTCACGGTTGCCAAATTACTGTTATTCGACAAATTTTACCAATATTGAGTGAAAACGACATAGAAATTGTTTCTAAAGATACAAGCTTGGAAACGTTGATGAGCCCAATATGAGGCCACATGAAGTTAATTTTTCGTTTTGTATAACGTGGATTTCAAAAATCCGGTTGGTTAGTCGGATTTTTTTAATTCTAAATCAAGACCCTTGTTTACATCTAATTTATAAGCTTTCGCGTAGCCGGAATGTTTAACTTCTGAGACTTCCTTGAAATAACAAAAGGCATTTAAGCATTTTACTTGTTCGGGTATTATAGCTACGATATCTATGATCTATAATTCTTAACCATAATTCAAGTTCAATCATAATTTACGTAGTAAATTATTCTACTTCCTGAAAATCTGCTCACGTTTTATGTTCAATTGTCTACTGTTCCGAAATAGTTCCCGATATTATTCTTATATGTTTATTAAATAATTATCAATTTTTTGGACTGGATTCATAAAATCTATTAAAATAAGTAATTATCCTTGTTTTAAACAAAATTGTTGCAAAAAAAAAATTTTGTTTTGAAAATTTTGGGTCAGCGGGTAATGAAAACGAAAAATTAACTTTGCGTGGCCTTGTTTTGATTAATAAATTAGATTTAACAAGAAGAAATCCATCCGTTACTATACCCTCCTCCAAGCAATATACGCATAGAAAGTCATTTAACTATGATCACATGAATTAACCGGCACAGATTCATCTATTACTATTGCTTGTCTTCTCGAATTCCAGTATGACATCTAAAATTGCGTTTTTATTATCACATCAACAATATAATCCAAATATAGACACTTAAGAAATTCGACTGTCCTGGCATTACTCATCATGATTGACCCTGAGCTTCGATTTAGATAACCATAAGCCTTTGCCGCCCTAAGTCACATTCCCAGATTGTCCTCGTTTTACACTGCAGCAGGCTATAGCTAACGTTCCATTCTTCATACTCCTTTTATTCATTACTTTATCACACTCTATTTTAATTCTTATTGTTTCAGGATATATACTTTGTTCAACGTCAGCATTCGATCTCTTGGGTTGTTTTATTACTGTGTCCCATTTTTCTATTATTCATTTGTCTGCACCGCTACTAAACACTGCTACTTCTTTAATATCAATTTTCCCTTCTTACTATTCATCTTGCGCACCACAATTGCATTTTCATCGCCGTTTTTAACATCTTTGCTCTCAATTTTTCCGATTTGTAATATCTTTTCTTTCATTGTCGCTCAACTTAATACTATCATTATCATCGAATTCGATTTTTGCCAACGAATTTCCATCGTTCGACTGGATATCCATCTCCACTCTAAATTTAACAACATTTTTATCAAGTTCAACCACATTGTCCTTATTGGGCACCACAGGTTTGTATGGTTTTCTATATCAACATGCATCCCACTTATATCATTATTCACACCTAATTTAAAAACATTCCAACAATACCACTTGATTGTTTTAGACTCACGGCACCCATCTATCGACATGGGCATAATAATTAATGTCAACACAATATTAGAGATAGGACCTTACATTAGGTTAAGGTTCGAAATATAATTATTGATCATGCTACATTACTCCCGATCTTTGAAATTTGATTGGCCAGAAAAATTTTCAAAGTGATTTTTAATACTAATTTCGGGGTCTGCATAATTCGCATAATTTAAAATTTGCCGCACGCATAATTTTGATATGGCCGGATCATAATTCTGGACACTAGATCATTTTTTATATGATCTTGATGTTAATTTTTTTTATTTTTAATATTAGGCTATACAAAGTTAATTTTTCGGTTCTCATAACATAAAATTTGAAAAATGACCCGGCAACCCGGCTTTTGATTTTATTTTCAAAAAATTTTTATATATAAAAAGCGTATAAAAATTTTTATAAATTTCTAAAAAAACTTCACCCGGATAGTAAATATAGTCAAAAATTTTTTGCGAAATTTGACCCGGCCGGGTTATGAGAACCAATTTATTAAGTTTGCATGGCCTTATAAAAAAATTTATTAAGTTAATGACTTTTGTATTTCTAAGTAAAGTTATATGGTAGGTTTTCCTGATTCTAAAGGGGATAAAAGCATTAAAATTGGTTAGATACTTAACGAGAAATATGTATTTAAAGATTGGGTATCATTTTTTGTCATATGATGATCATATGATATAAACCAATCAAGATTAACAATTTTGTTGCGAAGTTATGTGATTGTATTGAGTGGTAGATTAGAATGCAAGTTGAGTGACATTCAAATTATCTCATTCTACATATCGAGTGTTTCAATCTTGACTATTGATTGATTAATTAAAAAAAATTAATTCCTTACCATTAATATTTAATAAAGCAGCAGTGCAACTATGTTGCATTAAAACAAAAAACAGACACATCAGTATGATATATTTGAAGTTCTAACTTTGTATGAAATTAGTAAAATTAATGACCAAATAGATAGAGATCACTGACTGATGATTGTTTGTAAATGGTTAGTCTATTTCTCACCCACATTATTTTATATAAGCTTATATATAAAAAATTATTGAACATATTATATATTATAATAAATGTATAAATTTTTAGGGTTTTAAAATTTATTGCACGTGCAATATATTGCATCCCTTCTGTTATATCAAAATTTTTACTATGAAACCACCTTTGAGGTTCTAATAAAAAAA